CAGCCAGGGCAGCGACGACGACTGGGACGACGAGTGGGACGACAGCTCCACGGTGGCCGACGAGCCGGGCGCGCTGGGCAGCGGCGCCTATCCGGACCTCGACGGCTCGTCCTCGGCCGGCGGCGGCGCTGCGGGCCGCTACCGCCTGTCCACGCGCTCCGACCTGGCGCTGGGCTCCCGCGGCGGCGCGGCGCCCCCGCAGCCCCCGCCGTCGGGCGCCAAGAGCTCGGCCACCGTGAGCCGCAACCTCAACCGCTTCTCCACCTTCGTGAAGTCGGGTGGGGAGGCCTTCGTGCTGGGCGAGGCGTCGGGCTTCGTCAAGGACGGGGACAAGCTGTGCGTGGTGCTGGGCCCCTACGGCCCCGAGTGGCAGGAGAACCCCTACCCCTTCCAGTGCACCATCGACGACCCCACCAAGCAGACCAAGTTCAAGGGCATGAAGAGCTACATCTCCTACAAACTGGTGCCCACGCACACGCAGGTTCCCGTGCACCGGCGCTACAAGCACTTCGACTGGCTGTACGCGCGCCTGGCCGAGAAGTTCCCGGTCATCTCGGTGCCCCACCTGCCCGAGAAGCAGGCCACCGGCCGCTTCGAGGAAGACTTCATCTCCAAGCGCAGGAAGGGCCTGATCTGGTGGATGAACCACATGGCCAGCCACCCGGTGCTGGCGCAGTGTGACGTCTTCCAGCACTTCCTGACGTGCCCCAGCAGCACCGACGAGAAGGCGTGGAAGCAGGGCAAGAGGAAGGCGGAGAAGGACGAGATGGTGGGCGCCAACTTCTTCCTGACGCTGAGCACGCCCCCCGCTGCCGCCCTCGACCTGCAGGAAGTGGAGAGCAAGATCGACGGCTTCAAGTGCTTCACCAAGAAAATGGACGACAGCGCGCTGCAGCTCAACCACACGGCCAACGAGTTCGCGCGCAAGCAGGTGACGGGCTTCAAGAAGGAGTACCAGAAGGTGGGCCAGTCCTTCCGCGGCCTCAGCCAGGCCTTTGAGCTGGACCAGCAGGCCTTTTCAGTGGGCCTCAACCAGGCCATCGCCTTCACCGGAGATGCCTACGATGCCATCGGCGAGCTCTTCGCCGAGCAGCCCAGGCAGGACCTGGACCCGGTCATGGACCTGTTAGCGCTGTATCAGGGGCACCTGGCCAACTTCCCGGACATCATCCACGTTCAGAAAGGTAACGCTTGGCCTTTAGAGCAGATGATACGGAATGTGTTGTTCAAGCCGCAAGGGATGACTTTGGGGTTTCAGGCTTATGTTCTACAGGTCGGGAAGAGGGCAGGGATGTGGACCGCCAGGCTATTTCCCTGGGGCGTAGGGGAGGTTGGTGGACCTCCCTCGTATCTTCCAGTAGGGAATACGTACTCTTCAGTGACGGTTCAGAGAGTACTTTTTATGACAGTGCTATTCTTGCAGAGCTTGAATAGTTGGGAAATGAGCGGTTCAGGTCGGGAATACTGTGATGAGAGTTAAATTAGGAGGGGACCCAAACCACGTTAGGCATCCATTTGAACGCTGCTGTGTCACTTGGTGGGTTTCAGAAAGCGAGGAAATCGATGTCTGCAAATAAAGGTAAGTCTGCTTTCATCCTCCACACCTCTCAATCCCTGCTATGTAGCGGAATTAAGACAAATCCTCTGAGCTGGGGCAGCTTAAGAACTTCCTGCATAGGATTCTTGCTTGCAACCTTTGTAAAATGAGGTAAAAGATTCACTCTGGTGTCAGTGAGTTTGAAATCTGTTAACCTACTGAAATTAAGAACATTAATTAGGAAAGCTGTGTAGGGAAACTATACACAGAATGTATGTAATCTGAGTATTGTATCAGAGTAGTGTTTCTGGTATCCCAGCAAGTTAGCAGTCCAACTGTCAGATTTTCTTTTTATTAGTTATTAGTAGTTATTAGTGTTAGTAGTTATTGTTAGTATCTCCAAGATTTGCTGAAGTGCTGGAATTTGCAAATTCTTTTTTATAAAGTAAATTACAGCAGTAGTACCTGGCTTAACGTTACTAATGTGCACTTTGATGTAGTGCCTTGATTGAGAGACTGGGGAGGTGTTGGAGTTAGGGAGCCTGGCTGTCTTGCCTGTAAAGTCCAGTGTGGGGGAGGGTGGGTAGAGAGAGTCATCTAATCCAACTTCCTGTGGAGGAAGGGAGGGAGGGAACCTATGGGGATCTTCAGGTCTGGCCTGCAGTGATGAGGTGCTGCCTTTCCAGTGGACCTGTCCATTTAGCAACAACCCTGATCTTTATATGTCTTTTCCTTGTCTTGAACTAAAGCTTGCCTCTCTTGATTGTCTTTCTGTTCCCTGGAACTACACAAAATAAATCTATTTCTCATTGACATGTCAGACCTTCAGACACTTGGAGGCAGCAGTCTTGCTTCCTCCCTGCTTCTCTCCTTCCACTTCCAAATGTGTGACTGATCTTCTGACTCTTACCACGGGGGAGTGGTCAAACTTTGCGATGAATCTGTTGTTGCTGCTGCTAAAAAGGATACCCAGTGTATCAGTTCCAATTTTAGTAGAGAATAGTAGCTTTCTTGGCAATTTACAGTTTGTGAATGCAGTCTAATATTGAGTTAGTTTTTGAGCAGTCATATTGCTGTTGGTCTATACTGAACCTGTATTTACATTCCCTATACCTTTTTTGCATAAATTATTATGAATCTTTGACTTTTTTGACTGATGTTGGTGGAAGTGGCTTTTTGAGCCTTTCATGCAGGACCTTAGCATTTAAATTCCATTGTGTTATATCATTCTAAACCCTTGCTGGTTGTCTTTTTACACATTTCTATGAGTTTATGCAAATTGTTGCTAGTTGCAAGAGGGTGGAGCCACATACACCTGTGCTGCAGGTGTCTCTGCAGGTTGGCATCAGTTTACTCACTGTCATTCTTGCCATGCACTCAGCCTTTATCAAGTGCCTCGCTGCTGAAATTACGTATAAGAGATGGTATGTGTTTGTCCTGTTTTGAACTTACAACAGTAGTCTACTTAGTCTGTTAAAGCATCTCGTTTTATTTTTTTTTTTTTAATCCTGGAACTGGATTTGTCTCCTATTGTTTGGGATTTGAAAAACCACCTTCATTAAAACCAGTATCATTTTATGTGGTTTAAACAGATTCAGGGGCACTAAACATAATCTCTAGGAACTTTGGAAAGAACATCAGTTGATATTCAATATGGTTTGTTTCTGCTGTAACGCTGGCATGTTACGTACAGTGAGCTTATGTGCCTAGATGACATGTCTTTAGAGTGTTCTTCCACTTAAAGCCACAGTATGCAATACATGAGGCTAAACAAACGCATTTGCTTACAACAGTATTTATCAAGGATCCTAGTGTCAGTGATTTTTAGGAGTACTATTAAGACTAATGTCATAAGCCAGGGTAAAGCTTTTTGAGCATATTCAGGACTCCTGGGGGGAAAGAGCAACTCACACTCCCCATCCCCGTTAACTGTGTTACTGCAGGAATGGATCTCTTTTAGTCTGTGCACTTGGGGAATTTTTTCCCCGTTAAGGTCTCAAAGCCATTGACTTTTGAGACAAGAACAACAAAAAATACATAAAAAGCTTGAAGCAGTTTAACCAATCTTTTGTTTTAAGTATTTGGTCCAAAGCTTGTATTTCAACTTTAGGGGAGAAATGTAAAGATTCAAAGTAATTATTTCACCTATTGAGTTCTCATCGTTTAAGAGAAAAAGTTTTACGACTTGGGTATTTTATGTGTTCTAATCATAAATTAGGAAGACCACATTGAGATGAGCTAGAACATGATTAGAAAGTATATTTTCATTACTAAAGCAGTAAGGAGAGATAATGAGACTTTTTTTTCTTCTTAATTCCTAGTGAAAAGGAAAGCAACTTTAGGCTTCTGAGTTTTTTTCTCTGGAAAACTGCTGTGGTCAGCCAGCTCTTTATAGGTTCTAGATCTGTGCTAATTGATGCTGTATGTGTATATAAGTGAAATAGCCACGTGCGGCTATTTCATTTTAAAATTAAATATAATTAAAAATTAAGTCACCAAGTTCCTCAGGCACCTTAGCCATATTTCAAGTGCTTCATAACCAGTGGCTACCGTATTGGGCAGCAGAGATTTGGAACTTTTCCATCATTGCTGAAAGTCCTATTGGTTAGCACTGTGTTAGACAATTGGCTGTAATTTTAACTGTCAACACTGTCAAAAGTTTCTCTAACAAATTAGTTATCTTTCTTTTTATTTTTTGGCTTAAACAGCAAACATTTATTTTTCCTCTCGGTTTTGGAGGGTAGATCAGGATTCCAGCATAATTGGTTGTGGTGAAGGCCCTCCTCGTTCACAGAGGGCCATCCTCTTTTATCTTCAAATGGTGAAGAGCAGAGAAAGAGCCTTTTAAAATTTTATTTATTTTTTGAGTTGAGATCTCACCCTATTGCCCAGGCTGAAGTACAGTGGCACAATCATAGCTCACTGCAGCCTCAACATCCTGGGCCCAGGTGGTCCTTCCACCCCAGCCCGAGTAGCTGGGACTACAGGCACGCCACTATGTCTGGTTAATTTTTTGTAAAGACTGAGATCTTGGTATGTTACCCAGGCTGGGCTGCAACTCCTGGGCTTAAGCAGTCCTCTCACCTCAGCTTCCTCAAGTACTGGGATTACAGGTGTGAGCCACCACGCCCAGCCTCAACTTAGATATCTTTTCATGTACTTTCCTGATAGCTTTCTTTTTACTTGGTCATTTCATGGCATCTCCTCCTCCCTATAGGCTTTATTAATAAAGACTTGGAAGGGAAGCATGTCCTGGTAGATCCCACTTTAAGGAACTTCCCAGGCACTCAGCTCATGAGTGACACTTGAGCAGCACGAGCCTGTCATGTCCTGTTCAGAGAACACACTGGTTTCCAGATAGATGTCTGAGGCCATATTGGTGATGACCCAGCTACAGAATGAGGGTGGAAAACTCAAATACTCTTGCATTAAATGTGGTGGGCTGGCATTATTCTGATTTTACTCAGTATTAACCCATTGCTTATACTAATTTTAAATTGTTTTAGTGTTAGTGTAAGTATTGTTAGCAAACATGAAGATAGCTGTATGGTTCCTTTAGCTAAAATATAATTCTAGAACTTTTATTTTTTCATCAACTAATGGAATCTTAGATAAACAGACCTATTTAGGAGGTTAATGGAGTTGAGTGAAGGAGGAAGGTAGTTTGCTGTAGTCTGTAGTACATTAGGTGGGAATTCAGAATCTATTTGAATTTTATTTGTATTTTGCTTTACCTAACAGGAGTCTCCTAAATTCTTTGTTTGTAGGCAACTCATTGGTCCTTCACTAGGCAGTGTACTCATACTTCTCACCGATGCGTAACCCCTGTTGTCCTGAGTTTCCTTTCTATTTTTTTTTTTTTTTTGAGTTGGAGTCTCACTCTGTCGCCCAGTCTGGAGTACAGTGGCCGGAAGTGGCCGCTCCCGGCCACCACAGCCTCGACCTGCTGGGCTCCGGCGATCCTTCCGCCTCAGCCTTCTGAGTAGCCAGAATTACAGGCATGCGCTACCACGCCTGGCTGATTTTTTGATTTATTGTGGAGATGAGGTCAAGCCGGCCAGGCGGGTCTCCAACCCGCGGGCTCAGGCAATCCACTCACCTCAGCCTCCCAAAGGCGTGGGATTACAGGTTGAGCCACCGATCCTGGCTCCTTTCTTTTCTTGAAATGACAGCATTTTATCTTCCCTCTTTCTCAGCCCCTCCTGTAGTATGTCTTTGTAATGCTGTGTTGACGAGTTTGGGGTAGTCCATAGAATATATTTTCTTATCAGTTTCTTAACATGTTCAGTTTTGTTTCCCAAGATATGTTTCATCTCTAGTATTTGAAAAAGCTAAGTCTAGATGGGAGCAAGTCATGGTTTACCTCTTGGGGGCTGTTGTGAAAAGGACTATAAAAGTTATACTATGAGAAATGTTGGTTTCAACTTTGTTTATGAATTTGCACTAGATAGCTGAAGGGAGTTACTTCAAGTGACATTTCTTTATTCCAGAGAAAAGGAATTATAAAATCATGTTAAATGGATTTGTTGGTACGATCTATTTTGAACTATGTGAAGCAAGGAGGCAGGACTAGATAAATAAACAAGTGGTCCTGTTTTCTGCACTCTTAAATATGCAAAACCTACTTTCTAAATGTTCCAGATGGAG